CTAAATTGAACGCTGTTTGCAGCATCATTGAAAAAGTTTCAAGTTAAGTGGAACTTCGTGAAGTGTTGGAAATTTCGAATTAATTACCTGGAAACTAGTAAAAAACCGTTCAGAGCAAACAAAACACTGTACAAGCTCCGAAGCAGAGGACGGGGTCGCTTTTGTTTACTCTCTTATAACAAATTTACGTTATTACAACGTTCATAATCAAGTCGTGTCATGCCACATGAGTGTAATGTACATAATTTATTTTGACAAACCTTTTAACAAAATATCGCTCACAAAATTTCTACAGCAATACTAAATACTTACATAAAATCTATTTCCAAAACAGCACTACCGACAAATGTAATAAAAAAATATATATTCAAACAATATCTAAAGAATGTCACGCATACAAACGTACCGCGAAAAAAAACGAAATATTTTATAATTATTTCTCTTTTTTATCCCATTTTTCGCAAATATAAATCGCTGAGATCAAACGTCGAAAGAAAATCAACAGAGCACCTATAATTTTCTTCCGTTCATCTCTACACAATATTATCTGATCACGATAAAAATATTTCTCTACTATAAGCACGTTGGAGACCTGGGGTGAATTATATATACGTAGGGGTGTATCTCCGTGCGTATTAGTCAACTGTCAGCTGTGACTCACCCCTGGTGTTTTATAAGGGTTTCATACGTTGGGCAAACTTTGTGTACACAAAAAAAAAATTCTTGCGCTCGTTTCCGGATTTTGAGACATAAAATGTTTTAAATTGTCGAACATTATAAAAGTTTTTATGTGACTTCCGAATGGATGAGGTTTTTAATTTGTATTTTTTATGTTACTGTTACTTCAAAAACCCAAATTAGGGTAGATCTAAAATAATAGACAAAATTAAGACATATTTAATGCATGTTCGTATACGTGGTCACAAATGTAAGTTACGCTTGATTTGGTGAAAGCCATCATTAATATATATAATCCTTACATTTACTAACTGTTGTTGATAAAACTTAAGTTTTACCAATGCACAGGCTTTTACACTTATATCTATTTCATTGTTGCATTTTATTTATTAAATGAGAATAGTGAAATCACTTGTCATTTTGATCTAATAGCTTTCGCTGTTTTTAGCGGAGCATAGTTATTATAAAAATAAACGATAAATATTTCTAATATTCAAACATTTATATCAATAAAATTATATACTATTTTAAATTGCACAAAATAACCATATTTCAATATCACTAGATCATATATAACATAGATCATATCAAGCTAGTGAAATATTCTCATCTAAAAAACGACAGAACATTTTGAGACGATATCGCATGAATAAAATATGAAATATAATACGATAGCGGAGATTATTTACGATATAGATCGTATCGCTTCTGCGGATAAAACAAAACAGCTGCCGTCGGGGAAATAGCCGTTAATAAATATTGGCGAGCAAGGTATAAGAGTGAACAAAAAAACAATAAATCACATAATAGCCGTAAGAGACAGCAATATAAATAAATGCGAGCTCAAGGAAACAAAAGATTTGGTGACGATAGTCATCATGAAACAACTGATAAATGTCCAAAAGCACCATACAACTAATACAATAGAGTAAAGGGATTTATCGATTAGGGCGGGCCAAAAATAGCACACCCTGAAGTACTATTAAAAGGTGTCTTTAAAATTGCCAAGACGTAGCGGTTATAATAAAGAACCGACCCTCTTTAAAGGGCGACCAAGCAGGGACATCGCCGCAAGTGGAAATTAATAATGGAAAAATCAGATGGGCTCAATATTTGAATATACGAAATCCGCACTTTAGATTAATAAATACTCAATAAATTCGACAAACAGATTTTATTCCGCATAAAAAGAGAATTCATTTGACTGCTTAATATAATTTCACTTTTTTTTTTTCAGGTAATAAAACGCACCAATGAACGATGCCACGTTTCACAGGCTTATTAGATTTAAAAAATATTTGAATTTAGAACGCAGAATTATGTGAAAGTACTCGTAGGTTTTACGTCGCAAAGAGGTGGATAAAGGTGACAAAATTAATATAAGACGTAACGTAGCACTATCTACACCTTATCCACTGCAAAAATATTTATGAAAATCAGTATAATTGCTCAAGATGGTCGCAAAAATAATTACCGAACATTTTTTAAAAGTCGTTTAAAAAATAAAGATGAATATAAAACCTCACACTATATAGATAGTATTTTCACACGATTGCTTCGCCCAAAACAGGTAAATTCTTTCCACGTGTAAGTCATAGGGTTACCATACTATAAGGTTAAATTGGTTATAAGTTTAAACGATACAAATACTTTATATTTAAAAAAAGATAAATAGTCCATATCGGTTTGTAATGATGTTTATTTTTACTGATTCATTTATATCTGAGTATAGACATAAAATGGATTCGCTTTTAAAACTTTAAAATGACCGCTATTTTAATTAAGATATTAATTTCAAGCAACACGTACATATACTATATAAAAAACTGTTCACAATTCTAATTAAAAAAAAACAGGTCTGACTTGGGAAATTTTTAATTCAATTCCTTGCAACACTGAAAAGAGCGCGATTCGATTTAAGGAACATGTGTCATAATTTAATCAGCCCAAAATCAAATTAACTGAATAAATTTCGACTCGTTTTCAACACTTGATGCTCTACCTACACTATCTCAGTTTAGAACTTTCTGGAAGTCATTTAAATAGTATAATCGGACAACAATATCTCAAAATAGTGGACTGGCGTTGCTTCCGATATTCATTAATCATAATAAATCTAGAAGGGCATCGGCTACAAATATTTCCTTTATTTGTCGGTATTTTTTTTTAGAACACAGTACAAATTACTTGTTCCAATAATTTCGAATGAAGAGTAATGACACGCACGTGATATAATCGCCGAGGGTATTGGGGCCCTCCCTCTCCTGACCTGAAATCGATTATTGTTCCGCCACAGGTAAATTCCTTTACACTTCACAGGTTTCTTTGTATTATAATTGATAATGTCAACCTTTGTCGAACTTTGGGAATAATCGGAAGTAATTTTACAACAGTGACCGCTTAGCACCTTAGAATCGAATTTTTTCAAAAAAATTAAAATTGTATAATTATTGTTCATTCAATACGTCTCCACAATGATTTTTATATTAAGTATATCAGTTTATCTCTTTCTCTATATAAATCTTTGCATATGAAACCAAAAAAGTTTCCCAGTGCAATGTGTACAGCTCCGGCGCTGTGCAGCCAGTCCCTCTCTTAACAATACTTGTTGACTATTTAAAAAACTGGATGTAAACAGAATAATTGTTATATTGATTTGCACTATTTAAACATAAATTAACATCTTAATTATATATATATATATATATATATATATATATATATATATATATATATATATATATATATATATATATATATATATATATATATATATCTCAAGAAGTAAATATGCAATAATTTCGAAAGCTTCACCTCTCTTGTATAATAATTACTTTACTAATACCAATAAATACCAATATTCGATTCATTCATAGGTTACGATTACTATCCAACCTTTAAGACCGTAGTTTTAACGGAACACCGATTCGGGCATAAAATAAGTTCAAACGATAGAACAGATTACATTACTTAAGGATCAACCGCTCTTTAGTAAAATAAATATCTCGTAATAGAAACAAACTTTAGATTATATAGATAGAACATCGAGCCTCAAAACCGTTTAACTTTTTAACAGGTAATTGTCAATTAACTGACTCGTTTTTTTATCAGTATTCAATATACTTACGCATGCAATGTATGCTTGACGTATTATTTAATAAATAAAACGCACGATTATTTACGCATTAAAAAGATGCGGAAATTATAAGACAAAATAAATATAGACGTTATAAAGGAATCACACATAACTATCACGCAAAATTGTATGAAAATATTATCCCGCTTTTCTCGAAGCATTTGTATGGAGACACTCTATCTATATAATCTAAGAAACAAACATATTCTATCAACTTCTTCGTTTATTTCTTCTGAACTTTACTATATGCTCATAAAGGTTCATGACTATGTAAGGAAGACTTTAAAGCCGGATTCTTACTATAACGCTGTTTACAGTTTCGTTGTCAGTCTGATCTCTATCTGGTAAAATATTATTACCTAAGAAACAATATATTCATACTACAATCCCGTAAATTTCCGTACCAGTCACCATCAATCTTAAGCGTTTCTACTTACTAGACCGAGATCGGGCCGAGAACGAACCATGACTGTCATTATAATGTAAATTTAGTCTAAATGTAAAGTGTGTAATAATCAGCGGTGAACTTACAATAAGCTATAATTAACAAAATAAACAAATAGACCCGTTGTCGTTTTGAAGAAAGAAACGTAACATTCAAAAGCCCACACTTCACCGAGCATAGTAAAATTTAAATATTTGACATACCTGAGTTCATATAGACAGAGCAACGAACGTTAAAACCATGTCAATTTTTTAACAGCTAAATTGACATTTGGCTGACTCAATTTGACACATATTTTTTTTAATTAAAAACAAACTAGAACCAAATAAAAAAATAAAACAAATGGCGCCATTTTTGAGTGTTGCATATATATATATATATATATATATATATATATATATATATATATATATATATATATATATATATTCGTATTGGTTACAAATTAATATACATGTATAAATTTATACGGCGATCATAATCAATTCATAATACGGAGTAATTAGTAAAGATAAGCATCATCAATAGGAATCATTGTGCTCTGTTTATTTTGTTCTTTCAAATATATTCGTAATAATTATAAATCGTTTTTATTTTTCAATTTAAGCTAACAATATTTTTCTCCAATATTCTGAGTGAGTGTAAATGTGTATTATGGTGTATATGTGAACAGTGTTTATTTTTGTTGAAGCATGTATGAAGACACTATCATTACAAAGATAATATAAAAAAAAAACTTACATCAACTTCATAAAATGCGAATAAACAGGCCACCCTCAACACGAACAGCGCAGGCTATCTGTAACAGTAATAAAAAGGATTATTAGAACCATAAGCTAACCAAATTTCAAATTTTATAGCTTAATTTTATGTTCCTTTTTCTTTGGACCGTTTTATAAGCTATGACAATTTCGAAACAGCCAATAAATTCTAAAAGTTGTATTTATAGGAAATGCTCATATCTGACACACGCTATTCGGGTTCAGATCTGGTGAACATCCTGATGATAAGTGGTAATTAATTTTCTTATATTATGCACTAGCTTTTACCCGCGATTTCGTCCACGTAACCGAGGTATATTCGCTGACTGAGATGTCTTTATGTATTTATCCCATGTTGAACGTATATACCAAATTTCATATCTGGTTAAGCCGTCAGTCAAGGAGCTAAGAAATAATAAACAAACTCACTTTCACACTTATAATACTAAAGATATTTAAATATTGTTAAGAAAGTATGTGTATTTGTATATTACCAGATATGTTATTTACTTTATTCACATCACACAAATAACAACAGACATACAAATACACATTAAAAAGAGATAAAAGAACAGATATACAAAAAAAGCAAAATACATAAAAAAAGTAACAATTTATCCATAGTAACTCAAAATGGTCACAACTCAATTCATTGCTTTGCCCTCAAAAGAGTAAAACACTGATATTCTGTTGTGCCCAGAAACCAATAAAATTAACTAAGCGGCCTGCGAATGTAGTGTACCAATATAAGATATCAGGGGGAAAGGAATTGTTAGTAATGGAGACTGAGAATCCTATTGCTTGCAATATACCCAACCAGGTCGACCTCCTCGCGGTTCTCCTGGAAACTATCATGGTTAATTCCTGATGAATTCATCATGATGGGCTAACTGGCCTGTTTTCATTCTCATCTATCACCCTTCACTGGTGCTCCGCCAGCGTATCCCGTTAGCGCAGGCGGGGTTACCATACCATTTACACCCATAAAAAAAAAAAAAAAGATATCGGTCACATTGTACAAGACTGCCCATTATAGTAAGAGGGCAATCCAGCAGACTTGTTCACCCTGGAGAATGACGAAAAAAAAAATAACATTGTTATCTTTAAAATAATTATAAGAGCAACTGACATGTTGCTGTATCAACCTTTAACTGTCCACTGCTAAACGTAGGCCTCTCCCATGGGGTTTTGCTTCTAGTTGCCACGCTTGGCAAGCAGGTTAGTATTCGCAGATTGTCTTTAAGTGATGTTTTAAGAAAGACGCAACTGCCCATCCCTCCACTATAAGCTCCCTTAGTGGCCTCTTACGACACCCAAGCAAAAGGAAGGTATTGCCTATTCTATACTGGAACACACTAATATACCATAAGATAAAGAAATAAACCAATAAAACTGAGCATTTTTTCGAAATAAACATGGGTCGAAAGCCGACAATAAATTTTAAACTTCCCATACTAAAACGGCGCCTTCCCAGTTGTCAGTACGGCGGACCTATTTTTTGTCGTTTTTCGACCCATGTTTCTATGGGAAAAATGTTCAGAATTAATGGTGAAACACACCCTTAAAATGATGCGAATTTCGATTTCATTCAGTGGATATCACAACTCGAAATTTACACGCGATTTTTTACTTTAAATTACTCTTAGTAGTCTAATTGACTTCGACTAGATTTCAAGATCCTCATCATCATTATCAGCCTTTAACTCTCCGCTGCTAAACATAAATCTTCCCCTTGGGGGGCTTTACCAGTAGTTGCCATGCTTGGCAGGTGGAACTGCAATCGCAGTTAGGCTTTAAAGATGTTTTAAGAGGGACGCTGCTGTCCATCCCTCGCTCTTAAGCTCCATTCCCTCACTTAGTCGCCTCTTACGACACCCACAGGAAAGAAAGGGGTAGTCTATTCTGTGACTGGATCACACATTAGAAAATCCTAGTTCTACATAATAATTATAATGTTCCACAAAAAAAAACCACTTCAATTATGGCAACACTAGATATTTTGATTTAAAAACTAAATTAGTGAACCGATTTTGACCAAATCTCTATTGCACCAATCTGTAAGTTCGTACATTCACATAAAATAATTACCAAATCAGTTTACAACTGACGGAGTTAAGAGGTTATCGCATCGTTCGATTTACTTCGAACTTTGCAGAATTATTGTTTATAATTCATAATCAACATACATATATTTCTTTTTTCAAAATACTCCTCAAAGGAGTTGAGTTCCCTTTTGAAGCCATTTGATTTATTTCTATCTATACCCACCCACAAGCAGAATTTTTCAATAAAATTAATATTATCGCGGATGAAATCTAGTAATATTATAAATATAACAAGTAAGTTTGTTTACTTTTAACTCCTTAACGACTTACCCAATCACTATGAAATTTAGTACACACTATATGCAATGGAGAAGGATACAGGCTTTTTATCACGATCAATCAACATATATTTATTTATTTATTTATAAAAGATATACCAATAATATGTTCACAATAATTAAGCAGACTAGATAATGCTATAAGTAGTGGAGAGAAGAGATTGTTAGTAATGGGGATTAGTAACCTTATTGCTAGCAATATACCCTGTCAGGTCGACCTCCTCATGGTTCTCGATCGAGAATGTCCTTGTTTTCGATAAACACGGCTTGTTCATACAAAATTGCAAATAATAATATTTTATAAATTATTTTGTATTGACAATATTTCAATCTGTAATTTTTGCTAATAATGCTGAACTACCCAATATATTTCTTTTTCTTTTTACAATAAGACATGGCAAACAAGCTAATAATCCACTTAATAGAAACACAGTATCCTCGTAACGCAGACGTAACGGGGGAAAGGGATTTTTAGCAATGGAGTTTGACAGCTCCATTGCTAGCAATATGCCCTATTAGGTCGATCTCCACGTGGTTCCCTCTGGAAACCATCGTGAACAATTCTTGATTCTTGAACTAAATTCGTTACGATGGGCTAACTGATCTGCTTCATCCTCACCTATCATCCTTCACTGGTGCCCCGCCGGTGTATACCGATAGCGCGGGTGGGATTACCATTCTATTATCACCCATTAAAAAAAACGCAGACGCAGCCAGGGTAAATGTAATAATTTAATATTTTTATTTATGTAACATTTTTCTCTTTATCGAAGCAGAATGAGGGATGTGGCAACGAAACGTAAAAGGGACCGGATGGATTCCGTAGCACATAAAGATAAGCTCACAGAATTCATCCATGTTTTAGCACAGATGTAATACAACAGTGGTAATAAGGTGGCAAATGGCTATGTGATAAGAGATTTTTTTTCAGAACCTATCTTGCGCCTACATACGTTACACCAATCGTCATTTGCCATAATATGATGAGAATGTTCGTTCGTACATTTTTATATGAAATTTATTTAAATACAAACTATATCCCGCGGCTTCACCAGCGTAAATAGATACATACATCCTATTTGCTAAGTTAGAATATAGAAGGGAAAGGATTGTTAGTAATGCGGGCTACTAGTCCCATTGCTAGCAATATAGCCCTATCAGGTCGATCACTATGCGGTCCCCTCTGGATTTTTTGATGGGTGAAAATGGTATGGTAACTCCGCCTGTGCTAATGGGATACGCTGGCGGAGCACCAGTGAAGGGTGATAGATGAGAATGAAAACAGGCCAGTTAGTCCATCATGATGAATTCATCAAGAATTAACCATGAAAGTTTCCAGGGAGAACCACGAGGTCGACCTGGTTGGGTATATTGCTAGCAATAGGATTTTTAGTCTCCATTACTGACAATCCCTTTCCCCCCTAGCAGACAGGTTGGCAACCGCAGTTTAGCTTTTGGTTGTTTTTTAAGGGATTCTGTTACCAATCGTTCGACTATTAAGTTTCCTTAGTCGCTTCTTACGACACCCACCGGAAAGGAAAGGACGGCCCTTTATATGCCGTGTGCACACGGCAATGTAAGAAATTACCTGGCACATTTCGATCATTAAAATGTTGATCAAATAACTTATATTAAACCCCAGAGATACCTAAATTTTGTTGAAATACGAAATGAACTTTACGCTACACTAATTTGAATTCATTTATTAATAACATCCATATTCATTAAAAAGTTTAGACCACTGAGAAAAAAAAAAACAGAATAATTATAACAATCCCATTTCGGGAATACAGCCGTATTGTTAACAATTAATTAAAAATAATAAGATTGTGTCAGTATTACATACGAGTATGTAAAAAATATAGATTTCAGTCATGTTAAAACCAGTTACTTAGACTTACCAGAGGGAGACTTTGTACAAAAGTCGATTGCTTGGGTACCTCTGTCCCATTCGTGTTTCTACCGTGAAGCAGTTGTGTTTGCATGGCTGTGTTTCGGTTTGAAGGGTGGGATATGGCGTGAATTTACTGGGTACAGAGGAATAACACCTAAGTCCTCAGGAATGGCAACGCATGGGGGGTATCATGGGCGAAACAGTATACTCTGTTATGTCCATGGTACTGCTCATGTCTTTAGGCGACGGTTACCACTTTCCATCAGGTGGGCCGTCAGCTTATTTGCCATTCTAAGTAGTATAAAAAAAAACTTAAAAACTTTATTGAATTTAGTAATTTACTACTAAATCAATTTTGATTAAATTACTTTGGAATTTATCTGTCATTTCAACTTTCCAGATAAAAAAAAAGTCTAAATCAGTTTATAACTGAAAAATGTGCGAGGTATCATACCTAAAAAATACACCGAATGGAGAATATTATTCTTTTTTAAATTAGTTGAAAAAAATAAATTATTATTAATTCTTACAAGAATCGCAACAGTTTATTTCAAAAATCATATTTATTGTTGTAAAACACTATTATTAGAGATGGCAAGTTCAACAGTGTACTTAGTTTGAACCTATGGTTTTTTTTTTTTAATTAGTGAAAGTGGCATTATAACCCCACCTGCGCTATCGGCATACACTAGCGGGGCACCAATGAGAGGTGATAGGTGAGGATGAAAAGGCAGGTCAGTTAACCCATCGTGACAAATTCA